GTGCGCTATCATCCTCGACTCAACCGATTGAGTTCATCAACCATGTTCGCGACGATCTGAACGCTCTTATAAAGAGTCAGTACGATATTGATTCTTTAGGAATAACAAAAAGCACACCTCGCCCAAATAATGATGATCAACGAGCTATTGACATCATTGAAACATCTGCGCGGCAGCTCAAGGATGGCCGATATGAAGTCGGCCTTCCTTGGAAACTACATTTACCAAAAATCATACCCGATAGTTACCCACAAGCACTTTCCCGGTTGAGGTCTCTTGAACATCAAATGTCAAAGGATGCACTCTACTCAGCAGCTTATAAAAAGTTTATCAACGATATTGTCTGCAAAGGTTACCCCGAAGCATGTCATCAGGGTACGTATTACAAACAGCCCCAGAGTTCATCAAACACAACCTCAGATGGCAATATACGTTGGTACTTACCAACCTTTGGTGTGATGTATCCACAGAAAAAGAAGTAACAGGTGGTCCACGACGCAGCCGCAGTAACAAAAAACGTGAGCCTAAACAGCATGCTCTGACAGGGACCTGATTTATTATGCTCTCTATTGGACATTCTCTTTCGCTTTCGAGAGGGTGCTATAGCCCTAAATGTCGACATTAAAGAGATGTTCCCGAGGATTAATTTTTTTTTTTTTTTTTTTTTTTTTTTTTTTTTTTAATAATAATAATAACTTTATTTGGAACAAGTGCAATGTACATAAAATTATGAATCGTTAAAACTGCTTTAGTTTTACAAAAACTGTGTTGCAGAATTAACGCCCATTCCCGTATAATATGAAACAGTGTTCCTATCAATGTATAAAATTAATTAAAACAATCTGTATAGAGAGAAAATTAAAATGAGACAAAATATCCACAATTTAAAATCCATCGAAGGTAATTTCAAAACAAAAAATATGTCCGAGTGCATTTTTATCAATATTATAACAAACCAATACTAAATTTTACCAAAAAATGAAAATAAGGACTAAAATATAACATTTGAATTTTTATGCTCACATTAGAAGGTAGGTAAACACAGATAATACAAATCTATTAAAATTACAATATTAAACCTACCTGGACACTACAAACCAATAAATCATGATATAGAATAGTTAAATTCAATATAAGACACAATTTCGCACACATCGTACCAACATCACTGCAAAAAAGTTAATTCAAAGCATACGAACATCATTAATTTGTTTATTAAATAGTAAAAACGTCCAGCAATACCATACGCTGGCCATCAACTGAACTAACAATTCATTCCGAGCGACTGATAAGCGCGACCAGGATCAGTGGTAGGAAAAGGGGCGGAGCAAGTCAGCAGGCGTGAATCGTTGTAGAAGAAACAAATAGATCTACATAGGGCGCGACTCCAGTTCATGAGCGACAAAAATGCTGTAACATGAGCGATAAACTCCATTATGAACTCTTTTGATAAGTAGAATTATTGTGTTTAAATCTGAATTTAAGTTGTTTTTCATTTATTTTTATAACCTGACAATAGAAAGAATTTATACCTATACTATCCACTAATTCAAATATTTTTTTAATGTCATTATTGTAAATTAAAACTATTTTTTTGATATATTCAAAGATTATATTTATTAATGAGTAAATGAGATTTTGGAATGTTCATTTTTATAAATAGTTAAATCAAATTGAAATTATTTTATTTTAAGATGATTATCACGTTAACGAGGTAAAGTCTTTTTCACATTCAAATTAGTTTTAAAAATATATACTTTTTTTTTTGGAATAGGTATTGTTTACTTGATAACAAACAGCACGCAAAGCTGCTTTAGCAGTATTTCGACGTTTAACAGTCTTATAATTAATTATTTATAAGTACCTCTGTTTCTGTATATGAAAGCCCCTTCAGCCAAACAGTGATCCGCAGTTTACATTCCTTAAAAGTAAGTGGATAAATATTTAATATTTTATTTACTTTATTGTATAAACGGGGAGAGAGGTAGTGAAAATGACGTTTTGCGAGCTCCAACCTAACATATTTATTTCTACAGACTATATCCGATCTACGTTTGTTATGGAAATGGTCGGGGTTGAATGGAAGTTGGGAATGTTTGCGAAGTAAGACCAGCATGATGAATAACTGACGCACAGTTAGTACACCAGTGTCCTCATATAATTGAGAAGTTGGATATAGAATAGGCTTGAAGGTCATAACTTTTAACACACCTCTTTGAGCTCTTTCAAGGCGTAATAAAAGGGACTTATTGGCTCCCCCCCATACCGTAACACAGTATGATAATACGGACTGAGCGAGGGCCAAATATACAGATTTAAGTGTAGAAGCATCAAGTAAATTACGTAGGGTTTTAAAAATATACATGAGTTTCCTCGTACGGTTAGAAGTTACCTTAATATGCTCATCCCATGTGAGGGAGTAATCCAGCCAAACACCGAGGTACTTAATTTTCAATTTACTCTGCAGTAGCATACATCCACAATTTGACATTCCGGGGCAGTTCTGATTATGAGCTTGGATAATAAAGTTAGGCGCAGGAAGAGATGAACATTTTGGTGCAAAAGCCATATAGTTTGTCTTGTCTAAGTTGAGAGTAAGAGAGTTGTAGATCAACCATGCATTAACAGCACCAAGAGCATATTCAGCATATTTTTTAGTCTCCAACCAGTCGCTACCGTGAGCCAGTAGAACTGTGTCATCTGCGTAGGTAATAATTTTGCAGTTTGGCAATGACATATTGCAGAGATCATTCATGTAAACTAAAAAGAGGGTAGGGCCGAGGACGCTACCCTGAGGCACACCGAACTTTAGCTCTACTTCATTACTAATGATTCCATCCACCAGAACGCACTGTGACCGGTTACTTAAATAGCTACTGAACATGTCCAAAGCAGTACCTCTCACACCAATATTCTCCAGCTTTCTAATCAAAATTGGAATGGAAACAGTGTCAAATGCCTTTGACAAGTCCAGGAAGATACCAATTGATTTTTGTTTGTTCGTGAGGTTTGTAACAACTGTTTCGGTTAATGATAACACTGCATCTTCAGTAGACTTACCCTTTGTGAACCCGAACTGATTAGCAGCTATAATTTGCCTATCCGTTAAGTATCCTGTCAGTCTAGTATTGATTATTTTTTCCAAAAGTTTTGATAACGTCGTCAGTACCGATATTGGACGATAATTTGAAACACAGTCTCTACTTCCTGACTTAAAAACTGGATGAACTAGAGCCTTTTTCATTGCTTGCGGGAAGATACCACACGAAAGACATAGGTTAAAAATATGTGTAAGTACTGGTAGAAGAGTGAATTTGGCTGCCTTTATCAACGATGCGGAGATACCATCCCAGCCGGTAGCAGATGTGCCCTTCAATCCATCAATCAACCGATCAATTTCTTCGCAGTCGGTACTAAAGAGAGTCATAGAGCTAAGCGGGGGATTTGTGTTGCTAAATAAAGATCCAAAAACAGGACTTACAGAAGAAGAATCAATTTTCGATGCCAGACTTTCACCTACGTTTGCGAAAAAATTGTTTACTACGTCAACTGAGGAAGATGAGTCACTAGATAATGTTAGCAATTCTTTTGATGGGTTTGGTGATTTATTAAGATTTGTCACCTTTTTTATTAAATCCCAGGTTACTTTTGTATTATTTTTAGCTAGTTCAAATTGTTTGATTTCGTATTGCCGTTTTATTTTCTTTATTAAATTGTTACAAAAATTTTTATATCTTTTATAAGTCGTAAGAAGAATAAGATTATTGGGTTCTTTTTTTGTATTTTGATATAATTTGTCACGATGTCTTAAACAACGCAGTAAACCAGGTGTGATCCAAGGCTTAATAATCCTTTTTCTACTAGGAATAATGGAATTTTGTGTATGATTTTTTACTACATTCGAAACTAAGTCAACAAAAATATTTGTTGCTAATTCAGGATCAGAACATGTGAGTATTGAAGAAAAGTCAATTTCATTTAGGCTCTCAACGCAGGCTGTGACATTAATGCGTTTAGTTGTTGAGCGATTTTTAAGGGTCTTTGTTTTATGACTAGAGCAAAGAACAACAGCGGCATGATCTGTTATTAGTGAGTCTAACACTAAGGTCACTGCATTGGATTTTGTTTTCATAATCACATGATCAAGACAATTCCTATTTCGAGTAGGGAGGATATGTGCCGGCAACAAACCATGAAGCGCTACGGCATTTAGATAGTAATCACATTGAGGGTCGTTATTATCTCGAGCAATGTTAATATTGACATCACCCACAATTACGATATTATCATAAGACTTTAAGTTTTTCAAAGTATTATCAAGGCAACATAAGAAGTTGTCTATGTCTCTTTGAGACGGCGAGCGATAAAGAGCGATGACAGCAAAACTGGAGGATAATTTCAGAAGAATACCGCTAGCGTTATTCATTACAATTACCTCATGACTAAAAGGGATGTCTTCTTTAATATATATGACTACACCGTCATTTTGATTGGAAAAATCTGACTTCATAGAAACATACCCAGGTAATAGTGGAAGCAAGGGGCATTTGCTTAACCAACATTCAGTGAGAACAATTATATCCAATGGAATATCAATTCGCTGCAACAGAGTGAGTAATTTAGAAAAATTACAGTTTACACTTCTAATGTTTACCTGAAAAACATTGAAAGATTTGTTGGGATTATTTAGAAACGATTTACAGTTTTCCGGCAAACAATTATACGACCGAGAAACTTGAAACTGATCAAAGTCATCTATGATATTTGTATTAAGCATGATAAAAGTATGAAATTAAAGGGAGTATATGAAGCCAGCAGCGTAGGATCTGAAAAATGAATATAAATAAATTTACGATCTTTGGTTTTTGGTGGAAGGTTGGTACGAGTATGGATAGAAGCCACAAGTTCACACATTCGCCAGAATAGACTATGAAAAAAGTATAGCATTGAGTGGTTAGTAGTACTAATATGACGGACATTAAGCGACTCATTTGGCACCGCAAAAGCGAACCTGATATATCTATTTGCAGTGTCTTATTTGTTAAAAGCAAAGTACACAAGTAAATATGATAGTATGAATGATTTAAATTATGAAGCATTTGATTTATGAGCACAACAGATAGCCATAATTTACATGCAAAAAATAACGCAGAGAAAATTGTATCAGCATCAATTACAAATAGTCATTCTGTTTCTCTTAATTTATTAAGGTCAGATTCTTCATTTATCCGGATAGTTTTGTCACCTTCTTTTTTTCGTAGATAAATATGCCCATGGGCCACCCAGCAAAAGGAGTAACTATTGGAGCTTGCGAAATCACGCGCAAGAAAGTGTAATCTTTTCATCTTAGGTGAAAGATTATCTGATAGATATATTTGTTTATGAAGTTCACAACGTAGGTGTAGGTGCTCAGTGTTTAACCTGTTCTCTTTGTGAGTTTTATTAAAGTTCTTATAGCACGTAAGAATCTTTTCTTTCATCAATACGCTACTTAATTTGCATACAATGGGTTTATTACTCTTGTCTTTTGTTGATATTCTATATATGTCATGAATATCAGAAGTCGACGCACCTGCATTCAAAACCGAAGATAAACTTGTAAATATGTTCAAAAGGTCGGCTTTTGTTTCCGCTTTAGAAATTGGAATGTTTCTAATTTCAATTGATGAAAATCTAGATTTTTGTTCTAGTGCCTCAATTTTGTCCTCCAAGGTGCGAATGTAAGCAATATTATCACCATTCTCCGCTTCTATCCTACTTACTCTTTGTTTGAGTTCTATATTTTGTTCAGATAAGAACTCAATTGAGGACTGTATATTATCGTTTTGCCCCCTGATTTCTGCTATTATACCCTGTAGCGAGTCCAACTTTTCTTCCTGTCGCTGCTTCATTTCTGCAATGGATTTCTGCAGAATATCAAGCTTTCGATCCTGATCCTCTCTAAACTTATTCAAAGTACTCCTGATATCGTCCATGAATTCAATCAGTGACACCTCCTCCCTCACACGCTTCTGCCTACTGTGAACAGTCGCATGTTGCTCCTGAGAGGAACGATTTCCGGCTAGATCAGGTTCGGATTCACTTCTAGTCGGGGAAGCAGCAGTGGGCGGAGGAGTCCTCTTTAGTGGCATTGTTTTTGTTCGGATTTTAAATAATCCAGGAATATCCGCAATCAGGAGAGCCTAATGGCACTATAGTCAAGTAACGCAGCTCCGTACTGCGTACTAAGTACCAGGCAACCAGAAACCGGCGAAATCACCGCAGGTGAAACAGCAATATCAGCCACCACTCGGGGTACTAGGAGCACAGCAAGCAACAAACAACGAACCTCTCTCTCACAGTACGCACCAGTCCAGTGTGCGGCAAAGTGAGACACAAAACGCAGGATTGGGGGGCACTGCTGAATCGTCGCCACGCCTTAAAATTGCGGAGCAACTGCCGATGATGGGCGGCGGCAACGGAAGACTGTCGTAGCTGGTGGGGGCACAGAATCAGAGCTCCTTTCGTTTATGCACTCCTATTTTAGTCACTTTATTTTCTATGATTAATATTGTATTTAAAAATTTAAAAAGCGCAAATTAAGTTAACCAAAAACGCGTCTGAACTCCGCAGAGGTCCGAGGGAAGGATTAAGTGCCTCTTAAGATAGAGATGCTCAAGGTTTTTTTATGGCGCAATCACAAAGGTAAGGTCTTAGAATACCGCATGTCATCGATGATTTTTGGTGCCGTATCAAGTCCATTTATTGCGCAATACATAAATAAAAATAAAAAAGCAAGACAATTTCAAACCCAACACCCAGAGGCTTGCCAGGCAATACTGGAAGATCATTATGTGGATGATTACTTGGGAAGCTTCTCCAACGTACCCGATGCTGCACAGATAGCCGCCGCCATAATAGATGTGCATAAAGCATGTGGCTTCGAAATAAGAGCATCGACATCAAATAACCCAGAGGCTCTTTCTCTCGTTCCCAAGGAACTTAGAAGTGACGCCAGCTGTGATCTCTCTTTACCACCAAACATTGTCGTCCGCTTTTTGGGTGTGAAATTGAATCCAGCTCAAGACGTCCTCAGCTTTGTTACCGCCCCAAATCCTTCACTTAATAACCTTACAAAAAGAAGCTTACTTTCACATATCATGAAAGTGTACGACCCCCTTGGTTTGTTGATGCCTGTAATTAATTATCTGGGGTCGCATTCTCATTCAAAAGCTTTGCCGAAAGGGCGTAGAGTGGGACGCACCTCTGCCTCCTAAATACAAGAGCGAGTGTGAAGAGTGGTTTCACCAGCTCCAAGGTACAGCTACCATCAAGATCCCAAGGTGGTACAGGAATAGGTCGGCTCCCACAGACATTCAATTACATGTTCTGGCTGACGGAAGCGAACAGGCCTACGCCTGCGTTGCCTACTGGCGTTTTAGCTTCGACGATGGTACGGTATCAACAGCCCTGATCGGTAGCAAAGCACACGTGGCACCGATAAAACAGCTTTCTATCCCACGTTTGGAGCTGCAAGCGGCAACAATTGCTGTAAGGTTTACACAAATGATTTTGAAAGCCCATCGTCTGTCACCCTCCGTAACCACCTTTTGGACGGACTTCACCACTGTCCTGAAGTGGATCCGGAGCGAAGCTCGAAATTTTAAGCCTTTTGTGGCCAATAAACTCGGGGAAATAAATATTAGAAGCATCTAATCCTTCTGATTGGAGGTGGATCCCAACTTCATCAAATGTAGCCGACGATGCTACTAAGCCCAAAAAATTAAATTTGACCACTGGTCACAGGTGGTTTTCCGGGCCACTATTTCGCATCTTCCATGCACTTGGCCAATAGAACAGCCTGCGAACATTGACGAGACCTCACCAGATTTCGAACTCCGTTCACGAGAAACAGTGGGGCTACTAGTTGAATGATCGTTGCCTGACCATCCCGTACCAAATTTTGAACGATTTAGTTCCAGACTGCGGTTATTACGCGCCATTTCCCGTGTTCTAATATGCGCGCGAACCTTTCGGAACTTGATATCTCGGACAATTACTCCAAATTTCAAATTATACATCATTGACACCACACCATCCTCACAAATACGCGCAAAAGATATAATTGAGGCCGAGAAGATGTTAATACTAAGAGCCCAAAAGAGCAGCTTTCCAGAAGAGTCAAGAGCACTTCGAACCTCGCAGCCATTGCCCAAGAATAGCCGCATTGCAAAACTCACACCAGTGCTAAATGCTGACGGCCTATTACGCTTGAACAACTGCATCAGCTCTGCCCCCGGAATGACCGAGTACACAAAATCACCTGTAATTCTGGATAGTCGCCATCATACAGTACGGCTGTTGATAATATACGATCACGCAAAGGCATCACATTACTTCAATGAAGAAGTTCTAAATGAACTGCGACAGAAATTTTGGATATTAAAAGCGAGATCCGCTATCCGCTCTGTAGCGAGCGCGTGTCTTAAGTGCCGCAGATTGAAAGCGCAGGCAAGCACACCCCAGACCGGCGACTTACCAACAGAACATCTCGATCACCACAAAAGGCCCTTCACTCATGTCGGCCTTGATTACATTGGCCCTATAATGGTTACCGTACTGCGACGTCGAGAAAAGCGCTACGTCGCCTTGTATACCTGTCTTGTGACGAGAGCAATAAACTTTGAAGTAGTTGCCTCACTTTCCTCGGACGCTGCTATTCTGAGCCTAAGACGCTTCGCCCGGCGAGTTTCCCCGTTCACCATATTTTCAGACAACGGCACAAACTTCGTTGGCGCTGCTCGAGAATTACGCTCCTTATTTGACCACGCCATTGAAGAGTTGCGAACCAGAAGATAAACTGGCGTTTTATTCCCCCTACGTCTCCATTTATGGGCGGAGCATGGGAGAGACTGGTGAGAACCGTGAAGACCGCCCTAAAAGTATGCCTCAAAGACCCAGTCAAGGAAGACCTACTGACCACATTATTATTCGACGCAGAATCCAAATTCAAATTCTAGACCACTCACCTACGTATCAGCCTCACCAGATTCGCCTAAAGCACTGACACCATTCCATTTCATTCTGGGTACCTCTTCTACTGCGCCCTGGACGTGTACGCTCTCTGATACAGACCTACATAGAAAATGCGACTGGCGAAAAACTTTGAGCCTAGCTGACCACTTCTGGACACGATGGCTGCGACAATATCTACCAACGCTTCGACCCAGAGGGCCTTCTCGCGACGTGGTTACTTTCAGTGAGGGCGATGTGCTGGTCATTGCACTCTCCCCCGGGGTCTGTGGCCCCTAGGTAGGGTGATCCAAACTTTCCCGGGACCTGACGGAGTGGTTCGCGTAGTGGACGTCCTCACCAAGGGTGGTACACTTCGCCGACCTGTCCGCAAGCTTATCCCACTCGGACCCGAGCCACAGTCAGTCACCATCAGTTGATAGTGTTTTTGCTACCACCGGCTACTCAGGGTTTCGCATGAGACTCAAAAATTATTATATTGCCAGGGCGCCTTATACTGTATTTTTGTGGGAGATAAATAAAAATGATTTCAGCAGTGAACAAGATCCTTTTTATTTAAATACTAAAATTATTAACATTCAGTGACACATTTACTATCACTAACAGATATCTTTTAATATAGCTTTTATTTGTTTAAGTATTAAAATTAAGTTACGAACATACAGTCAATAACAGGTGTACACACAGATATATTTATGTTAACATTCTATAGAAACAACTTGTTTAAGCAAATATCAAACAATACTACGTGAAATTAAAGATTTTCATTTAATGAATTTACTTTATACAATTACAACTCTGTTCTTAAGTTTAAGAATCAAAAATCCTGTACTTCAGAGGATGCATTGGTTAAATATTAAGAAAATATATAAATAACTTAGCTCAAAGATTCCGGGAACATCTAGTGACTTTCATATGTTGATGTTATCCAAAGAAAATGCTGTCATTAGTCACACTCGGATTTTTTGCAGAATACAGATCACCGGTTCTTATTATTAAATTTATTCCTTTCAACTTTTCCAGGGAAATTCCAACCAGTACAAATCAATGATTTTCTGTCTAGATATTATACTAGCTTCCTCAAAGGACCTAGAAATAATTACACACACTTCTTAAAATATATCTAAATGCCTAGTTTGCCTACGACCTATCGAATTAAATATATAGAACTTACCCGTTAATCCGGGGAGAAATATCAATTAACAATACTTGTCTTGTAAGATTATTAGCCCACTGACCACAGCTTTCTCAAAGGTCACGTTGCGACTACCTTGATGTACAAAGATGCAAAAGCAAAGAGATGGATTGAACCAGCGCAGGGTTATATATACAATGCAGACCGCCTAGTACATACTAACCGAAGATTCGCTTCTCTTACCGTATAAGGAGCGAAATCATCGCGGAAGTGGTTAGATAAGCCACTCCCCTTGCAATTACTTCCAGAACTTATTAATATGACGTCACTTCCATTCTTTTTTACTATGCGAATTATACATCAACTCCATCTATCATACATTCCAAGAGCTACTGTCAGATTCTCTTGACACGCACATATCCTGCTTTGTTTAAAGTACTACTCGATGATTCATGTGAGTGACGGTAGATGGCGTTATTAAAAAAATGAATATTATTGGTTAAATTATTCATATAAAAAAATGATGTTACACACAGGAGGTCCAAAATGTTGTCGACTGGCTGTGGCTAGTAAACTCTTTTGATACTACAGTGGAGCCCCGGTAATCCGGCCCCTGACTAATACGGCACCCCCTGTAATCCGACATCGTCTATTACATAGAAGTATTCGCTAATTCACGATTGAACAAGTTACAACTTGTACGCACCATCACTATTTATTATTATTACTATTATAATAAAACGTAATCTTTCTATTGTGTTGTATAATTTATTAAATTTGACATACATAACGAAGTATGATTTGTAATCTTATCATTGGATCTGTAATTTGTCGGATTACAAGGTACTCTTTTGTAAAAAAAATCGGACTATAGGGGGTCTTTGGCAATACTCTATAATCCGACCAATTCGATAGTTCGACACTGCCCTGCAAAATGTTTGACGGACTACCGGGGATCCACTGTATTATGTATTTTTTAAATCCTTTATACTTTTGTACGTCACTTTTTGACACCATTCTATGTTTGACGCATCGTTATTATTATCTTGTCATTACTGCTTACGAACTATTGTGAACACGGATTATATTTTAGTTTTACTGCCACGTGTAGTTTTCTATAAACTATGAAATATCATATTAGTGATGAGAATCAATTGCACGTGTACAAAACTCTCATATACTGCGTCATTGCTACGTTAACGACTCATAACTTTAAAAATTTATAGTAAAAAGAAAATTATACAAAAGTTGTAGGAAATTTAATGATGAACTACTTTCATACGATTTTTTTTACAATTAATGGCATTTTAAAGGTTTTATAAAGAAAAAACAACAACAACATGTTTTATTATACGATAGGCAGTAAGTACACCTTTTAATGCCTACTTATTTAGTAAACTTGTACCTTGACGGCCTACAATTTTATACCGATGAAATTTAAAAGTCTGGACAAATCGGCGTTTTCATACAATCACAACACC